AAGGAAACCTCCCCCCCCCCCCAAATTTTTAGAACCCCCTTATGATTCATCACCCCCAAACTCAATCCCAGCCTTCCCTTTGTGCTATGGTTCCTTGCTGTACAATTTCAGAGAGATCCATACACTTGAAAACAAGTTATTGTCTGGAAACTAGAAAAATGCTTGTTTTTTGGCCCCAAATTCCTAAATGTTTGAGGCAATTACCCCCAAACTCAAATCCAGCTTTCCCTTTGTGATATGGAACCTTGTAGTACAATTTCATAAAGATCCATACACTTAGGCACAAGTTATTGTCCTGAAACTAGAAAATAAGCTTGTTTTTTTTGCCCCTTTTTGGCCCCTAATTCCTAAAATTTTAAGGCAATTACCCCCAAAATCAATCCCAGCCTTCCCTTTGTGGTATGGTACCTTGCAGTACAATTTCAGAGAGATCCATACACGTGAACAAAAATTTTATAATCTGGAAACTAGAAAAAAGAGAGATCAATACACTAACACACAAGTTATTGTCATGAAACTAGAAAAATGATTGTTTTTTTACCCTTTTTTGGCCCCTAATTCCTAAAATTTGGAGGCAATTACCCCCAAAATCATTCCCAGCATTCCCTTTGTGATATGAAACCTTGTGATACAATGTCAGAGAGATCCATACACTAACACACAAGTTATGTCTGGAAGTTACAATAAACTGCTTCGCTGAGTGCAGCTGAATACGCCCGCAGAGGTCCAACCCTGTACAGTTGGGGCAAAAATGGACACAATATTCAAACTTGATACAGGTCGGAATTTGGATTGTATTAAATATTTGACATATTATAGGTTTCTGAATAAATGTAGTCACTTGAAATTGGTTATATGAATTGAATTTATATTCAATTAAAGATTTCTTGCTGTTGTGCAATACACTGTGCTGTTGTGCAATACTTAGTAACTCTGTTGTTAGACTATAAACAAATAAAGTTCAATTAATTCTCAATGTCATATTAGAAATTTATGAAAATGTAAAGGGAGCTTACATCAATAGATATAAACAATTCACTAAAGTTTCATGAGAATTGCTGTCAGCATTTTTGAGTTATTGTCCGAAAACTGGAAAATCCCCCCTTTTTTAATTAATAAAACCCCATAACTCAGAAATGTAAAATGTAAAATTTATAAAATTCTCAACAGAGCTTTCATCAATAGATATAAACAATTCACCAAAGTTTCATACGAACTGCTGAAAGCAATTTTGATTTTTTGTCCGAAAACTGGAAAATCCCCCTTTTTTTATGAATGAAACCCTGTAACTCGGAAACGTAAAATCTAAAATATAAAAAAATCGGAAGGGAGCTCATGTCAATAGATATTTAAACAATTCACCAAAGTTTTATGCAAATTGGTTAAAGCGTTTTTGAGTTAATGTCCGACATGTTGACGACAGACGGACAGACCGACAGAGGTATACCATAATACGTCCAGTAAACGAGCGTATAAAAATGCTTATTTTTGGCCCCTAATTCCTTAACTGTTGGTACCATAAACCCAAAAATCAATCCCAACCTTCCCTTTGTGGTATTGAACCTTATGGTAAAATTTCATAGAGATCCATTCACTTAAACTAAAGTTAAGAGTGCGAAAACCAATGTGTCTTCGGATGCCTACGCCAACGCCAGACAGCGACGACGACACCAACGTCATACCACTATAAGACAGCAAAATTTTTTTGCAGTTGTACAAAAATAGCTGTTTCATCGACTTGGTAAAAATTGAAAATTGTCGATGGCGAAAGTGACTGAAAGCAAGTATTGTGTACACCAGGGCAACTAGTTTTCGCTTTTGACGATAGGGCAAAGCAAAGTGACGGACAGGAAAGCGACTTATTCGCCCCTGTCGCCTGCTAGCGTGAGCCTCATTATAAGAGTACAGGAGCAGTTCACCAGGATACAAGGTTAAGCCCCGTCTGTAAAAAACGACTGGATTTTTAGGAACGCGCATAGTGACAAAATACAAATACAAGTCGGACAGGTGATTTTACAATATATACTAGTCCCCCAGGTCGAAATTTTTCACAAGCCAGTCGGACTAATCACAACAGAATATTTACAAGTCCCCAATAAAATGTACAAGCCATTGGCATCAGACTTGTGGCTAAATTCGAAGACTGCATTCCTGCAATCTTACTATTGACTGGATATTCAGGACAGTTCCCTGGTCCTGAATGCAGTATTTGCTTGTCCCAAAACTTTCTGAACACAATGATTTCTTCTCTAACAATGATAAAACATGAGAGTTCTATTTAATAACAACAACCACATGAACATGGCCTGTATCAAGAGGGAGATGATGACAGAGTGAGTGAGATAGTTTGAATTAGGAAGTCAGATTGAGAGTGATAGGATATTGGATACATAAATAAATGGGAGAGCCAGTGACAGAACAGTGGAAGAGATTGTTATTTACTGATAAATAGTCAGTTGTGAGAGCTTTCTTAAGCTCATGTTTATTGTTGGTTTTAATACATAAGTTACATGTTTTTTTTGTTTTGTACTTGCTAATAGCATGAATAGTGAGGCAGGGAGTGATTGATAGTAAACAGAGAATAAGATTTTAAAAAATGTCCAGAGATGCCAAGAATATGAATTCAAATGTTAAGATTCAACATTTATAATAATTTATTCAGCAAAAATACTACAACAAAAGTTTATTCTACCATAATATTCATAGAAGTTTCAACGACTTTTTTAAGTCCTGTTGAAAAAAATAGGACTGACAAAACTTTGTTCGGGCTGACAAACCATGTGAAAGCCAAATTAATGTCTACCCAAATGACTGACATGTGAAATTTGTTTTCAAGAACTCTGACAGGAAGTAAGTGACTGACAACTTACAACTCATCACTGTCAAGCTGCTGAATAAATTTTATCGATAATTTATTCAGCATTGTCATTACTGGTAGTACCTGAGAAAAGTGTGAGGAATTTTTTTTTTGGTTGAACAAAGGAACAGACAAACAGACTGAAGGAGGTAATGGTATAATATCAAGAATTTACCAATATTCTATAATCTATTGCTAGGAATGCTTTGGATATTTGTGGGAAAAAAGAAAATAAAGGTTATATTTTTCTTTTTGAATGGGACCAAAATCAACACACATCAAGGTTGGACGGTAAATACCGCCCCTGGTATTTACATGCGGTATTTACTGGTTTTTACCGCCCCGGATTGATTGATTGATTGTTGGTTGCTTAACGTCCAGTGGCAAATATTTCATGCATATTCAGGACGAGAACAAGTTAACAATAAATACAATAGGTAGGTTCTGTAATAGGGGCTTCCGGGATTAAGGTCGGAGAAATTTAGACTGCCACGGAAAATGAGGGTATATTGGATAGGGACAGAAATTTAGCCATGTAACAGGTCACCTACGGACCCCTCAAAGAGTTGTTGCAAGGGTTCTCAACGTGCAAAGAGCGTGGCACTCTCTTTACACGAGGCATCTTACCGCCCTGGACAATACTCCTCAAGTGGTCAATACTGGCAAATACTGGTTGCTTGAAATTTTCATGGCGGTTTTTACTATTTATTGAAGTAAAAAAATGATAAAAAGTAAGATATATTTAAACTTTAATCTTTTGGCATGTTTCAGCTGATATAAATGAATGAATTTTATTCATTTTTAACACTTATACCTACTAATTTAGTCCTTATAAGTTATGATATTGCATATTTTAGATATATATAAAGAATTGACAAATTAATTTTTACAACATTTTACAGGGGTGGAACCAGGCATTTATTAATGGGGGGGTTCCTAACCCAGGATAAGGGGGGGGGGGGGGGGGGGGGGGGTCCAACTATATGTCCCCATTCAAATGCATTGATCGTCAAAAAAAAAGGGGGGTTCCAACCCCCCTGGATCCGCCACAGTTTTTCAATCAAGATATTTTTTTATTGAAAATGCATAATTTTTACAGGTACATAAAACTACAGGTAAATGAAGTTACAGGTGTCTTATAACCTATCACCTGGCATTGCTAGGTGTGAAAATTTAATCACTAGTATAAAAACAACAGCCCCCAATAAACTTTTTTTTTACGTTGCAATGTGGAAAAAAATACTTTTCAAAACCCCAACCTAAGTGGTTCCCTTTAAACTGACCTAATCACTAGCTTAAGCCATGGTATTTTAGGTTGTTAAGCTGGAACAAAAAAACACACACACTTTACACTAAACACCATAGGATCATTCAGTCCAAGTTTGGCCCAGTGGTTTCTGCTAAGCTTTAAAAGTTTACGACAACAGGCAACAAGTGATGGCAGTCATTGCCTTTGCCAATTATGCCCTTAGGGTCAGTCACCTCTAAAAAACAATGTAAAAGTACTAAGGTCACTACATTATAAGCAGGGATAAAGTGTCATATTCTGCATGAAACTGAAATGCAAGGATGATGATGATGAAACAGCATAGATACACATTAAATATTCACTAATGCATGAGAAAGACGGGCAAGGCCTCATATTCTGCTCAATCTATCAGTGGCTTCTTATGTTCTTAACATGTTGAAAATACTGCTAGAAGAAAACAAGGATTGTTCACTTCACAACATTAATCAAAGCTCAGCAAAACAAGAATGTGTCCATAGTACACGGATGCCCCACTCGCACTATCATTTTCTATGTTCAGTGGACCGTGAAATTGGGGTCAAAACTCTAATTTGGCATTAAATTTAGAAAGGTCATACCATAAGGAACATGTGTACTAAGTTTCAAGTTGATTGGAATTCAACTTCATCAAAAACTACCTTGACCAAAATCTTTTTACCTGAAGCGGGACAGACAGACAAATGGACGGACGGACGAACGGTCACACAGACCAAAAAACATATACCTGATCATAATAAATCAAAAGGAAATAAATAAGTAATAAAATTGGTATACTTACCAAATTTGAATTATATAATCCATAAAAATATCATTATGTTATCATCCAAGAAGAGATACTCTTCTTTACAAACTCACCATGTTTTTTTGGAGTCCGATGTCCATATGACCTGTTTCCTTCACTGTCTCGTCTTCGCCTATTATGGTCATAACTATCTCGTCTATGATCCAATTTAGAATAGTCACTTCTATGAGAAGAAGAAGGCTGACTAGTCCGATAGTCGATCTGACTTTCTTGAAATTTTTTAATAAGAAACTGTTTGTCAGGTTTTCCACTACCGGCATCAAAGTCAGAGTTTTTAAGTGAGTTCTTGTCTGAAGTCCTGTTATCATTGTGTGTGGAATTATACACATCAGCAGCTATAAAACAAAACAATCATACACAAATCATGGTGGAATTATACACATCAGCAGCTATAAAACACACAAATAAAACAATCATACACAAAATAGCTATCTAACATGTCTAAGCAGGCAACACCATGTGCTTTTGACATTTTATATTTTGTACCAGTTTTTAAAAAGCCTATGCCCAAAAAAATACTTAACTACAAATGTTTACATGTTTATCCAATAATTATGATAACATGTTTCCTTGTGTTACCAGTTACCATTCACTGTATATTTATCTAAATTATCTACTGGAATATATCTAAATCTGCCCTTTTATATTTGTATTTCATTCAAGCAGTTCCATGTTCATGATGTTGAGGTCTATAGTGCTAGTACACAGATTAAAGTATCATTAAGCTCTTTTTCATTTAAATGGTAACAAGTAACTTAATATTTCTCTCCAGAATATAAGCATTAGAGCATCATTTTCCTGTTTATGTTACAAGCAATTAATTTTTCAGAGGACTTTTCATAAAATTTGGTTAACCCTGTGTCCAAATTCGTTCCTGTTTTTCTTGATTTTGTAGTTTTCAAATGCTAATGTACATGGTTAAAAGCAATGTTTGTATATCAGATGACCTTATTAAGAAGAACTTTTATTTGATTTAACATATGCAAAATCCTTCAGAGAACCTGATTCTGTTTCACTGTAAATGTGACCTCATAAAAACAATCAACAATGACAATATAAGAACATTTTGTGTTTGCAATCAAACTGAATACACGAAAGACCTTGAGGTATACTTATATAGTTCTTCAAAACTTTAGTTTTAATGTGTGTCGTTAGAAACTGTATCTACAATAAGAATGAAACTAATTCATAGACAAACCTTAAAAAGATCGTACTCTTAACCTTCTAAAATATATACAAGACATACAGTAATATATTTTAAGAAAAAGATTCATATCTACATCAATTTGTGAGAAATTTAAATGAAGAATGTGTCCATGGGACACAGATGCCCCTGCTTGTAAATATAAGGCAAATTCTGCAATTTATCAATTTACAAAGGGACATAACTCGAGAACGGTGAAAGTGACGCCACCCAAATTCAAACTTGATCTGTGTTTGGTGGTAATTAGCATCATATATTTTATGATGGTATAATACTAAACCCCTAACAGGAGGGATTGTGCCTGATATTCATATGATGAAGACATAATCTTTCAATCAGTTTAATTGAGGTCTGGAGCTGGCATGACAGTAACTGCTAGTAGTCTGTTGTTATTTATGTATTATTGTCATTTTGTTTATTTTCTTTTGTTTCCTATTCTGACATCGGACTCGGACTTCTCTTAAACTGAGTCTTAGTGTGCGTACTGTTGTGGGTTTGTTTTTTCTACATTGGCTAGAGGTATAGGGAGAGGGTTGAGATCTCAAAAAACATGTTTAACCCGCCGCATTTTTGCGCTTGTCCCAAGTAAGGAGCCTCTGGCCTTTGTTAGTCTTGTATCATTTTTAATTTTAGTTTCTTGTGTATAATTTGGAGTTTAGTATGACGTCCATTATCACTGAACTAGTATACATATTTGTTTAGGGGCCAGCTGAAGGACGCCTCCGGGTGCGGGAGTTTCTCGCTGCATTGAAGACCCATTGGTGGCCGTCGGCTGTTGTCTGCTCTATGGTCGGGTTGTTGTCTCTTTGACACATTCCCCATTTCCATTCTCAATTTTATTGTGTATAAGTTTTATAACATTTGGTAGGGCCAAACAAGTTAAGAGAACAGAAACTAATTTTGGGATGTATGGAAGGATGTGGTGGTGGCAATAAAATATGAAAACCACATCATGCATGTTGTATAAAAATAAGAAGATATGGTACGATTGCCAATGAGACAACTCTCCACCAGAGACCAAATGAGGTAGAAGGTTAGCAACTACAGGATCTTCAACAATTAGCAAAACCAATACAGCATAACAAGCTATGAATGTCCCCAAATAATAAATGTAACACAATTCAAACGAGAAATTAGGCTTTTTAACAACCAATTGCATTGACTTATTTTCCAGCCAGTCTCAGTTGTGTAGTATACATGTATATGCAAGTTCTGATGGAAAACAATGTAGAGTAATGAAAACCACTTTGTCATTTCTACAGATTATTTGTCTACCCCTGACAGTTCTTACAGACTATTAATGTACAGCTGACAGTGAGCTCCTACAGACTGTTGGTAAATCCTGACTGTTCATATAGACAATAGACAGTTTGTCGTGTTTTTGACAATGTTGTTCTTATAGACTTTGTGTGTATTCCTTACATTGTGTGTCTGAATGTCCTTAATACTGACCTTTTAAATCATTATCCCCAATCAATTCTTATAGATGTTATGGATCACTGACTTCTCTTAGTTTAAGTATTCATAATACTTGTTATATTATGTACCATAGACTGTTTTAACAGACTAAGACACTGATTTTTTGTTTGTTTGTTGACCCGGACTATTCTTAGTGCACACTATCTATTTCTAGATTCTTAATACTTGACTATATGTGAAGAAATTAAAAGATGTAGGATAGCCAACAATGATCAAAGGTATTAATAATACAAACACATCTAGTTCCGTAAGTTCTGCCTTTCACTTAAAAGACAAAACAATTGTAACATACAATGACTTACATTTGCTGGATGTATAAGATTTATCATTTGATGTACTTGTTCTTGGCCTGTTCGCTGGTCTGGAAAATTAAAAAAATGGTTAATATGTTACAAGTATTAACACAATGAGACATTCAATTAAACTTCTTTTGAGTACTTCATTATAACCTTTCCACATCTCAATACATGTGTTGCTAGCAATATGTACAGGATATTTATATTCTGCATCATAAAACCTGATTAAGGCGAAGTGTACGTAATTGCACGCCTCTAGCGGAATTTAGGATAAAAAACGTGCGTCGTTAGTTACGCGGGTTATCTCCCCTACTCCAAGAAAGGAAAAATGGGCACATGAAAGAGAAATAACTTCGTGCGGTCTATCATGAATTCAAACAAGTATTCATGTGCTATCTCAAAATTTCAAAGAAATTATTAGAATGACTCTAATCAGAAATCTGAGTATCCTATTGTGAGTTAGTATGACTATATTACCACTGTTTTTGTTTTAGTTAAACACGCAGGAGCAGGTACACAAAACGACTCGTGTTTATTTCAACAGAAGGTAAAAACGCCTAAACAACAAAATTATAACCAAATAAAAAATAAACCAGTGACAATTCTGCTTCTATTCGTTTCAAATTCATTAAAATCAAACCTGAATTGACCCCCACAATATTTTTTTGAAAAACCATAGTTTTTATTGAATTTCACAGTGTACTGTAGCGTAAAATTGTAGGTAACAAATAATTATATTGCATGTGAATTTGTGTTTTGAACAAGAAAGACGTTGGCATGTCCGTTTTTATGCAATTGAAAATTTTTATGATGTTTTATATTTTATTATTTAGGTAAAAAGTATAAAAGATACGGGGGTAATCGACCACTAGTACAACATTTATAAGCCGAAGAAAAAGCCAACAGCAAAAAAAAAAAACCCATCAGATTCCGTCCACAAAACATTACACTCTCAGAAACTAAGAATTGAGCACTATTACATTTATCTCAGAATAAGTAAAATCTATGTCATCCAAATCTCAGTTTTCAAGGTGCAAAAAATAAACAGGTGTCTTCTCTTCCGTCCGCAATTTTTGGGGAAAGTAAAATCTAAATTTAGAACCATGGTTGAAACTGAAACTACACATGTATGATAAAAATAGAACGTGTTATTTTTTTCTTTATCAAATTCAGATTTCAAAGGGATAGCGAAACTTGTTTTCTTTTTTGTTGTGCTTTTGTGTATCATTCAGCAGTAGTATGAGGTAGGGGAAGAATGGGGAGGGGGTGAAGAAAATTAGTTCTACAATGTCGGGGCTTTTTATAACCGACTATACGGTATGGATTTTCTCATTGTTGAAGGCCGTATATATGATTGCCTTTAACAATTGCTTACATCCACATCCTTTAAGGTAGCTGGGGTGTCTAAATGTTGGACGATAGATTTTTCTTAAACTTCTGTAAGACTTCTGTGTCAATGTTATATAAATTTCAATATAAAAACTGGGGATCACGGACCTTGTTTTTTCGTAATAACACATTGAAATTAACGAAATTTGGGTTATTTTATATTGTTAATATAGGGGAAACTTAAATTTTCCTTATTGCAGAAACATTAAACGATGGAATTGGCTAAAAGTCGATGAGAGAATTGCTTTTCATTAATAACTCCGAAATATCAAATAAAAATAGGGTGTCACATGCCTTATTTTCTTGAAAAAAATCCCCAAATATTTTAAATATACTTTACGACACTTAATTTCTTGATAGTTCAATCTTTAAATTTCAAGTTTTAGGTATTTTGTTGTATATTGAATGATACTTGGTAAAATATTTTTAAAACAAAAAAGTTTTTGCAACATGATCAGAACGGACGCTCAGAAAAAGGAACCCGATCTACCTTAAACGTGGCAGATAGTTGTCTCATTTGCAATCATACCACATCTCCTTATGTTCATATTATATTAACAAAACTGCAATTCAAATTTGCACTATATACAGGAACAATTTGTATGGCACTATACTAGGTAAACTCGTATAGCATCGCTCTTGGTACATTCTTATAGCATTACACCAGTACATTTATAGCATATCACTATGCACAAAGCTTTAGCATTACACTATACACAATGCTATAGCATTAAACACGATATACACAATGCTAAGGCTAACACTGGGAATGATCTGTGCTACGTGAAGTTAAAACTCCAATCTGTTTTACCTTGCTAAAATTCATATGCGGGTTCTTCTTTTGACCTTATTACAGCCATAAAAATTCTCAAGATAATATGCAGATGCAGTTTTCTTATTTTTTGGAGTCTTGCATGTGGATATTTAACAAATAATGGTACAAAAAATTATTTCCTTTTTTACTTAAAATCTCCAGCAAACATTATATCATGCTTTGTCGTGTAGTTAAAGAAAAGGGAAAGCGATCGAGACAGGAAATTTTTTAAATAAAATTGCAGAGTTGTGTCACGTGCACGCGTGTGAACCTAACAAATAAAATGGGCTTTGTGCGCAATACCTCGAATAGCGCCGGAAATGGTGAGGATGAAAAGATGCAGCAAATTATATTCACTTTTTTAAAATACAAACATGCAGAAATAAGATTTAAAAAAAGACGTGTATACGCGATCCCAATATTATAACCGATTATTTAAATACGTATAGAATCATTCTGTCAACGCTGTGTAACTGGGACAATTTCAAACTTGATATTTGATTCATAATTATTAAAACAATACACTATAAAAAAAAAAAAGAAGATGTGGTATGATTGCTAATGAGACAACTCTCCACAAGAGTCCAAATGACACAGAAATTAACAACTATAGGTAACCGTACGGCCTTCAACAATGATCAACGCCCATAGTCAGCTATAAATACATGCATTTCAAAAAAGATGTGGAACCCTGTCTAATTAAAAAAAGATGGAGTTAAAGTCTATACAGTAACTTTCTTTCACTTGCAGTATATTTATTTGCCAATTTGTTTTTTTTTTTTGGCAGCAGAATTATCCTTAAAAACAGTTAGTTTATTTCCTTATCAATTGATTACGCTTGAGCATTTGCAATAATTAGGAAAATGGGTTATACACACTCACGATTTTGTTACAACACTGTACGGTATAATAGCGTTATAGAGTAGAAATTGTGATGACGTTACAGTAGACATCAATAACGTCGCCGAATGTTTTTATTCTTTCCGCTAAAAATCAAACTTTAACAGGATATAGCTTGAAAACTAGCACGGTTGCTAAGGACTTTCTTTGCACCAATGGGTTCGTCGTTCATCTTTGAATCGCATATCGATTTTTAAAAAAATTCTGTGGACCAACGAATTAGAAAATCTTAATAAAGTAAAAATATCTGCCGATTTTTATGATTTTCCCTATATATCCTTTGTATTTTTGGCGTATCATGCTGTTAATTTCAACAGCTTGTATTTGAAAAACGAAAACGGTTACCCCTTTTTTTTATTTTATTGTCTGGTGTATTTTTACAAGCAGAATCCACATGTAAAATTTAAAAAAATTCTGTGGAGTAGTTAATTACGTACACTTCGCCTTAAGAAGGCAACAAAAGTAGAAAACCACTAAGACCCTGTTAGATAGACAGCTCATGTTCATGATGTGTACATTATTTCCAGTTTGAACTGGTTGATTTGAACTCAACCTGTGTTTTTCATATGAAATTAAGAGTTAACCTTTAGAATGTTTTCTAAACAAGGTATATATCTCATCAACATGATTAAGGTGATTGGTTCCAACATCTTTTGATTAGAACACCCAATGCCTAGTTTATCAGCTTTATGACATTATACAGTCAGGGGTGCTACTTAAACAAGTGATTTCATCATCACTTATTTCAGTGATTTGATAAATTGAGTTATCACCTATTTAAGTGATTTTAGTGTTTTCTTTGATCTTCAAATGCTAATTTCATTGATTTTCCATATTTTCACAATCTTTTCTATAATTTTCCTACATAAATCAATTATCCTTTTTTCTTTGTATATTAATTTCACCAGTGCGCTTGGGCAGTAAGTTTGTGGGCTAAAGCTTTTAAAAGTACCCTTGGGAATTTTTCTGTAATCAAAAATTCATTAACTACTCTTACTATCAGACAAAGATCAACAATATTAGGTAACCTGATTGGTTTTCTTTAGAGTTAGAATGATCTACATTGAGGTTATGACCTGATCTACAAACTATTCCAGTTTTTGCATATTTTAAAAAAACTGTAAAAGTGTCAGGCTTATCAAGCAAGAGACAATTTCTGCATATACATAGTTGTTTTTTCAATGGAATTGTTGTCTTTTTACCAATAAAAAAAACCAAGCTTGTGGGAAAAATATCAAGAAAATGTTATAAACACTTATTAAAGTGATTACATTTTAACTTCTAAAATTACTTGTTTCAGTGATTTTAAAAAGTCTGTGTGAAAATTTTTAATATTTCACAGCCAAAATCACTCGAGGGAATGATTCTGAAATCACTTGTTTAAGTAGTACCCCTGACTGTTATATATAACCGAACCTTTGTAAATTCAAAGTGTTGCTGTCTACATCCTAATGTATGTTACTTTGTAGAAAGATTTGTCAAGTGTTGCTGTCTACATCATAATGTATGTTACTTTGTAGAAAGATTTGTCAAGTGTTGCTGTCTACACATAACGTATGTTACTTTGAAGAAAGATTTGTCAAGTGTTGCTGTCTACATCCTAATGTATGTTACTTTGTAGAAAGATTTGTCAAGTGTTGCTATCTACATCATAATGTATGTTACTTTGTAGAAAGATTTGTCAAGTGTTACTGTCTACATCCTAATGTATGTTACTTTGTAGAAAGATTTGTCAAGTGTTGCTATCTACATCATAATGTATGTTACTTTGTAGAAAGATTTTTCAAGTGTTGCTATCTACATCATAATGTATGTTACTTTGTAGAAAGATTTGTCAAGTGTTGCTGTCTACATCCTAATGTATGTTACTTTGTAGAAAGATTTGTCAAGTGTTGCTGTGTACATCATAATGTATGTTACTTTGTAGAAAGATTTGTCGAGTGTTGCTGTGTACATCATAATGTATGTTACTTTGTAGAAAGATTTGTCAAGTGTTGCTATCTACATCATAATGTTATTACTTTGTAGAAAGATTTGTCAAGTGTTGCTGTGTACATCATAATGTATGATACTTTGTAGAAAAATTTGTCAAGTGTTGCTGTCTACATCATAATGTATGTTACTTTGTAGAAAGATTTGTCAAGTGTTGCTGTCTACATCATAATGTATGTTACTTTGTAGAAAGATTTGTCAAGTGTTGCTGTCTACATCATAATGTATGTTACTTTGTAGAAAGATTTGTCAAGTGTTGCTATCTACATCATAATGTATGTTACTTTGTAGAAAAATTTGTCAAGTGTTGCTATCTACATCATAATGTATATTCTTTGTAGAAAGATTTGTCAAGTGTTGCTGTGTACATCATAATGTATGTTACTTTGTAGAAAGATTTGTCAAGTGTTGCTATCTACTTCATAAGGTATGTTACTTTGTAGAAAGATTTGTCAAGTGTTGCTGTGTACATCATAATGTATGTTACTTTGTAGAAAGATTTGTCAAGTGTTGCTATCTACTTCATAACGTATGTTACTTGTAGAAAGATTTGTCAAGTGTTGCTATCTACATCATAATGTATGTTACTTTGTAGAAAGATTTGTCAAGTGTTGCTATCTTCTTCATTACGTATGTTACTTTGTAGAAAGATTTGTCAAGTGTTGCTATCTACATCATAACGTATGTTACTTTGTAGAAAGATTTGTCAAGTGTTGCTATCTACATCATAATGTATGTTACTTTGTAGAAAGATTTGTCAAGTGTTGCTGTCTACATCATAATGTATGTTACTTTGTAGAAAGATTTGTCAAGTGTTGCTATCTACATCATAATGTATGTTACTTTGTAGAAAGATTTGTCAAGTGTTGCTATCTACATCATAATGTATGTTACTTTGTAGAAAAATTTGTCAAGTGTTGCTGTCTACATCATAATGTATGTTACTTTGTAGAAAGATTTGTCAAGTGTTGCTGTGTACATCATAATGTATGTTACTTTGTAGAAAAATTTGTCAAACATTTGAATAAACAGCTATGCATAATAATACATTTACAGAAATACATTAAACAAAGACAAAGCTTCTTTCCAAGTGTTTTTCAGTTGACCATATCTTTTTGAACTGTTTCGTCTATTTACATAGATGAATACCAATGAATATAAGGGTAAACTACATTTAGGGACTTTTTCGTAAATGAAAATAATTGTATGATACCAATACTAATAAAAAAAATTACTTAACAGACTTTCAAACAAGAATGTGTCCATAGTACAGGGATGCCACACTAGCACTCTCATTTTCTATGTTCAGTGGACAGTGAAATTGGGGTCAAAACTCTAATTTGGCATTAAAATTAGAAAGATCATATCATAGGGAACATGTGTACTAAGTTTCAAGTTGATTGGACTTCAACTTCATCAAAAACTACCTTGACCAAAAACTTTAACCTGAAGTGGGACAGATGGACAGACCAACAGACTCACATATACAAATATGTGAATACTAGTTAGTCTTTATGACAAAATAACATTGTGATAAAGTGATGTGATCAGAGAGATTTGTAGCAATAGTAAGAACATTTTGGCTAAAGTAACATAGAGCACAAGCATGACAAGCATCACCCTAATGTTTTGCCATTGACATGATTGAAAAGATAAATAAAAATACATTTGCTTTGTGAATATCTTTTTCGGAGACAGTTGTGCCCTAAATTATTTCTGCACATGAACAAGTCAATTAGTCAAAATTTTGCCAAATTTTGACATTTGAGTGTCCTTAACTGAATAACTCACGCAGAGTACATTTTAAACCAAAACTTCAAGGTTTATTTAAGAATATAGATTGAGCTTTTCGTCTCTGCAAATCACAGTTTGAAAAACATTTGACTTGGGGCCAATTTGGTCCCAGTTCCTTCTCTTATGTCTTAATTTCACATGTACTAGTAATGATAGTTAATGTAAACCTACTCATCAACCCATTCTTTAGGCTTAGTCCATGTTGATTCTTCAGTCTTGCTATTGTAGTAATACTTTTTTCCCATTGTATGTTTTGAGGTACTGATGTGCTCTGACCAATCACCACATACTCGAAGGGCAGTTTTTGTAAGCTAAAATATAAAGACCATATAATATTTTGAACCTTCAGTGGTTTTATTTTCAAGAAAAAAAAAAGAAATTTAGGATCTTTTGTACCTCCTGTCTATGTCTTTATTTTGAGCTTTCTATGGGCTGATACACATGTATTGAAGTTTACTACTAGCTATCAATTTGTATGAAAACAAGTTTCTATATAAAGGATGATGCCAATAAATTTAATATGCTAATGAATCAAACAACAATCAGATATAACTTAATAATAAAATTGTCTTTACTTGTCATAATAACATTGGTTTTAACGTCATTCCGTTTAGTAGTGCCTCAGAACAGACAAGGCATAATAACATTGGTTTTAAAGTCATTCTGTTTAGTAGTGCCTCAGAACAGACAAGGCATAATAACATTGGTTTTAACAGACAAGGCATAATAACATTGGTTTTAAAGTCATTCCGTTTAGTAGTGCCTCAGAACAGACAAGGCATAATAACATTGGTTTTAAAGTCATTCTGTTTAGTAGTGCCTCAGAACAGACAAGGCATAATAACATTGGTTTTAAAGTCATTCCGTTTAGTAGTGCCTCAGAACAGACAAGGCATAATAAAATTGGTTTTAAAGTCATTCCGTTTAGTAGTGCCTCAGAACAGACAAGGCATAATAACATTGGTTTTAACGTCATTCCGTTTAGTAGTGTCTCAGAACAGACAAGGCATAATAACATTGGTTTTAACAGACAAGGCATAATAACATTGGTTTTAACGTCATTCCGTTTAGTAGTGTCTCAGAACAGACAAGGCATAACAACATTGGTTTTCATGTCATTCCGTTTAGTAGTGCCTCAGAACAGACAAGGCATAATAACATTGGTTTTAAAGTCATTCTGTTTAGTTGTGCCTCAGAACAGACAAGGCATAATAACATTGGTTTTAACGTCATTCCGTTTAGTAGTGTCTCAGAACAGACAAGGCATAATAACATTGGTTTTAACAGACAAGGCATAATAACATTGGTTTTAACAGACAAGGCATAATAACATTGGTTTTAACGTCATTCCGTTTAGTAGTGTCTCAGAACAGACAAGGCATAACAACATTGGTTTTCATGTCATTCCGTTTAGTAGTGCCTCAGAACAGACAAGGCATAATAACATTGGTTTTAAAGTCATTCCGTTTAGTTGTGCCTCAGAACAGACAAGGCATAATAACATTGGTTTTAAAGTCATTCCGTTTAGTAGTGCCTTAGAGCATGCTTGGAGGATGCTCGGAGCTTTTTAAGTAGGCTCTTCTCAGCAGTTAATGTGACAATAATTATCACATGTATTATGATTCATTAAGATGTCAGTCAAATCTACACCACTTCTATGATAAGGAAAGTAGAGCATTATAGAGGAAGCTCCATTAACACCTGTGTAAACATCTGGTCTATTCAAATACATTTTGCATGAAATTTTACATAACTATAAAATAGATTAGAAATTCTTCAACAGTGCTGTGTAATGCTTGGAAAGAATTCTCAAGTCTCCACAAAAAGTAAAAGTCGTTTAAATATTTTCTTATTATATTTAATAATCATTCCTTTTTTTCTAATAAAAAAATTCTCATATTTTATAATTAGTTGATATGATTAAAAAATAGTTTATTTTATATAATATGCTACATAAAAGTTACCAAGACACAAACAACAGTCAGGTGGCGATACTAAACAAGTAATTTTTTTTAGTCACTTTTATAAGTATTTTTTGTTTTTAAAAATTATTTAATAACTCAATTGTTATTTTAAATGACAAATAAATCATGGACTAAACATGCTAAATGTAGTTTTTAAGAACTTTTATATCATTTCAATAAATAAAATTAAGTATTTATCCAATTTGATATGAGTATAGAGAGGTTACTTTTAATTAATGACAAAAATATTACTTTAATAAATTATTTTATACAACTTCAAAAAACTTAGTACTTACAATTATTCAAGGAATATATGTAATTGCTTTTGATTAAGATTCAAATTATAAATAACTTCAAGTCTTAATATCTAGTTATAACTGTCTATCTCTATGATTTTAAGGGGAAATTATATTTTAATAGCCCCAAGAGGCCAATCTTTGACCAAGAAGTGTGTCATCAGAAAAGCAGTTAGTGCTTGTTGAGGATTTAACTTTACCCAGGGTTCGACACTAACGCTAGTCCGCTAGCCAGAGACTAGTAAAAATTAGGGAGGGCTAGTAAAGTTTTCATCACAGTAGTCTGACGGGCTAGTCAAAATTTTGTTTAAAACTAGGAATTTCACAAAATTTTAATTGTCAACAAATCCCAGATTTTTTGATGATCTTTGCTGTCTTTATTGTACAGTTTATTCACGTATATTTTGATTGTCAGACATTTTTTAACATGAAACTTACTTTTTGGGGAGGGGAAAGAAACGGAAACAATGATGGTACTTAATACATTGAAAACCATGTGTGTTACAAACGCCTTGATAATTCTAATCAGAAACCTGGATCTCAAAAGTGCTTTCATAATATCAAAATAATAATTTACATACATTACTACCGATACCATCACTGTTTGGGAAAAATGTACAACTTATTGGGAGGAATTTTAAGCCATTTTTTTGGTAATTGGGAATTTTCTCTAGGGGAAAAAGCAGTATTTCGAATGTAATTTGAGGCAAACAATATCACTGAATTATTGTCATAAAAACAAAATTATAGGTCTCTGCAAGGATTTGTATACTACTTGGTCTCTGGTAAAAATATACAGATTTTTAGGAATAAAATCTTGTCCTGCAAGGGCAAACCTTTCCTCTTTTGTGGGTGTATTTTTAAATCCCTAACTTATCCATCTTCATTAAAGACACTAGTAATAATGATAAGTAAAATGAGGATGATGATGAAGTAATGATCTAAAGGGGTCTTCAAAATAAGTCGAACACATTCTGAATATAGATGATTAAAATATGATTTATTTTTTTTTGGGGTATTTTTTATTAGCAAACCAGTGAAATTTCATGAAATAAAACATGTTCAAAACCCTCTGGAAATGCTCAAGAACACAGGATTTAGCTTCATTTGTATCAAAATTTTCTGGGGGGGCATGCTCCCAAACCCTCCTAGATAGGGTCGTAGGGCTAGTTAAATGACAAGAGGACTAGTAGAATAATAATTTTACTAGCCCTGCAGGCTAGTACATACATAAAGTTAGTGTCAAACCCTGTAAATTATATATGTAAAATGTATATTTCATGGGGAAAATAACCAGATGTCAGTGAAAATTTGTTAAAGCTAGTAAAACCTGTATGAATGGACACCTAAAAAATAATATTAACAGAAGTTACTTATTCATGATATAGAAGTAATATTTGAAACAGCCTCGTTTTCAACATAACTTGTGTAGGTAATTTTTAAAATTACTGTTTAAGTAATGCCCCTAACTAAACAATGGTTATTTTTTTTTTTAAATACAATGTAGCAGACTAAGTTCTTTTATAAAAAATTATGGCTACTTTAAGAAAAGTTGTAATTCATAAGTGGAAGCCTGGTTTGAGGGGATATTAATACCACCATTGTTTTCCGTCTAGTACGTCTCTCTTTACATGGCATTTTTTTTTTAATTGTGCAGATTTAGTTTTGTTTTAAATAAAGAAATACTTGGCATGAGTAAAATTATTTTCCCCCTATAAGTCTTTGTTTAATTGTCATGATCGTTATATTAAAAAAAAATGTGCAGAATTTATCTATAAATAAAGAAATACTTGACATAAATTAAGTTTTATCCTATCCTGTCCTGTACTACAGTGAAAATAAAGCATAACTTTTCAGTGCATATAATAAAGTAAACATCACCAGAAGTTAACCAATCAAATTCTCTCCCCCTTTTCCCCCTGTAGAATATAGTATATTTTTATTGCTTTGAAACACCCAAGATACATGTTTACAACTCAAAAAACTTTTCTGCAATGAAATGGAGGGTTAATTTCAAACAACTGTCAAATTAAATGGAATATAAAAAAGATCAACCCTATTTCGCATGAAACTGAATGTACTATGTTTTGGTAGTACGGTTATAAATCAATAACCATAGTTTGTGTCTTTGATGACTTTTATATTTCATTTTATCTATTTATTATAAATTTTAAATTTTAAATATAAAATTTGAGTGTTTTTTGTATCATGTGTATTGAAAAAGAATGATAATTATTAAGAAAATGTTTTAAAATCATTTTCATTCTGTGAAGACTTGATACCAAGCATTGTACAGTACTATTGAAGAATTTCTCATCTATTTTATAGTTTTGTAAAATTAATGCAAGATTTGTTTGAATACAGAATAGACCAGATGTTTACACAGGTGTTAATGGAGCTTCCTCTATAATGCTCTACTTTCCTTAATATAAAAGTGCTATAGATTTGATTGACATCTAAATGGATCATTATAATTATTGTCACATAAACTGCTGAGAAGAGCCTACTTAAAAAGCTCCGAGCATCCTCGTAAGAATAAATCTATGATCCCTTGGTAGTGCCTCAGAACAGACAAGGCATAATAACATTGGTTTTAATGTCATTCCGTTAAGTAGTGCCTCAGAACAGACAAGTCATAATAACATTGGTTTTAAAGTCATTCCATTTAGTAGTGCCTCAGAACAGACAAGGTGATTGTAATATAAGCCCCCACTCTAAAAATTCAGGAGTCAAATCCTCATTTCAGTTCATGACACCTTGACAAGTCTTCAAATTCATGCCACTGTGATGACTTTTAAAAAATTTACAAAACAAGTATTAAACTGAGAAAAGCTGTTGGTTTTAATAAGAGCATACATACATTAACATAATACATGTGATGTCTTTCTATTTGTATTGTCTCTTACCTCAGTCTTCTTATCTCTGTTGTCTTGGCTATTTGACTTGAAATGTGCTCCATTCTGACTTCTATCATTTGATCTGGATGTATGATTGACATTACTTGATCCTGAAATAATGTATTTTACATTGCTTTTATACTAGTTACAAATTTATGTATTTTTCATCAGAGACAGGTTGATACTAGATATCACAGAGACAGTGGCAACAAAAAATGTCACTTGCAGCTGTATTTTGTCCCAAGTTGAAATCATAAATCCATTTTGCAACATTACTGATGCCCACCCCTGGGACTGGTGCAAAGAATTTAGTAATTTTTTTAAATAAAACAGCATCAAAGTTATATGTATGTATGCAACATGGACAGTCTTGACAATGCCATATGAAAGCTATAGAATTTTCTTTCTTCAAATTCTTTTTAATTAGTTTATTTAGAAACGATATCATGGATATGGAGAGATAGACCACTGTTCAAGAGGTCAATTTTATTCCTTATTTATAAAGAATTTTGGGGAAAAAAAGTGTTTTGAAAGTAGAATTTACATTACCCCAATTATAAAATTATGGTTTTAACATTGAATTTCTTAAATATACTGGTAGATCGATAAGTGTTTCTGAGGAAGGGATATTGTGTGTTATGTAATAACAGCTCAATCTGGGAGGAATTTCATTTTATATTTGTCAACATACATATCGGTTATTTTAGACCAAGACATGGGTATGATTATGACGATAAACATGATAAAATAAACAAGCATTCTGTGAGTATTGCATGGCAATACATAGTCCCCTACCAGTTAAAAATTCATTGTATTTGAACAAAATTCTGACTTATTATACTATTACTTGTCATCATGGTCATGGTGAAAACTATATACCAATTTTCAAATCAATATCTTCAAGCATGATGAAAAAAGTGCTGAAAACTGATTATTTGAGTGAATTTTCTAAGTCCAAGGACCATAACTCTGCACAAAATCATCAGACCGTAACAAAATTCGAACTTGATCTGTAATTTGTCATGATAAAACAATACACCAAATATCAAATCAGTATCTTCCAGCATGAAGGAAAAAAGTGTGGAAAACTGATTTGCCGGACTGACGGATGGACAGACAGACGGATGGAGTGCAAACCGAAAGTCCCCTTCGACTTCGTCAGAAGGGGACTAATAAATTCACATAAATTGCAAGTACATGGTTCTGTCAACAGATCAAGTTAGTTTCAAAATTATATGACAGTGTTCACGCCTGCCCTAAATAGAAGGGCGGCCCACCCTTGGTGCCCTTACCCCGCCCTTCTGCCCTCCAAAGCAAAAGAATGCATCCCTCTGCCTTTTCAAAAAAATAAAATTTCCAAAATTCATGCCCGTCTGCGTTTCCGGTAAAATTGTTACCTGATTGTGTAACACTCATTAACTGACAATGGGATTAAGTTGAACACCTAATTCTTTTGGCAGTTTTATCACCTTTGTTAATGATTGTTGTTTATGTACAGCATGTACAACAGAAAAAAATTATTTCAGTAGGCAATAACATAAAAATAAAATCTAAAACAATTTTAAAGGCATACATAGATAGTTTTGACTAAATTGGTAAAAAAATGTTTTGTTTCATAAACATGAGTATGAAATTTAAAGAAGAATCAAAGAAATTTGTACTTTGAACATAACATGATTGCACCACTTCCTGTTTTACTTCTTGTATTTTATAATCCTCCTTACATATAGGAGCACTCAACAAATGCTTGTTTTTATGGAGAAAAAAGTAACTGTTTATATCTTCTGCAATATATGCATCAATATAATATGATCATCTCCTGTCTCACCTGTTATATTTATAAAACTCCTTACTTAGGAGCACTTTTGTGCATTTAAAAATACTTTTTTGTAACAATTCAAATGATAATAAAACACTTTCAATAACATATATACTATAATGTTTGAACAAGTTATATAAATGTAGATAATTCAATTACACTAAACATTCAATTTTGCATGTATAACTCCATCTTTCAAAACTATACTTGTTTATTTTTATAGACCATTTGTTGACTGGTATAAGTTATTAAACATTGAAATTTCTGATGATTATTTTCCTTACCAAATGTACAAGTTTGTTTAGATTAACATCAAAATGATATGCTTTGCTTCATGGTATGATAATTTGATAAAAAAAATTCTTACTGGAACCAACATCAAGAACACAATAATTTCTGAATATGGTTTAAATACAACTTATGTTCTCCAACTGAGCATAGCAATATTCAAGGTAATTTATACACTGTCCAACAGTGCCCTTACAATCTTGGTTATTGCGCTTAAGTGCCCTTTCAGACAACTAGCACCCTTCTGCCCTGAGATTCAAGCTGGAACACTGTATGAACATGTACCATGTGTACTAAAAACCTTAAGGATAATCGTATCACAATCATGATAATTGCATTCAGTAAATCTCAAATCTAATCATGCTAATGTATGTGCCAGTTCAAAGTCAGGAGCCTGTAATTCAGTGATTGTCGTTTGTTGCTGTAAAATGTATATCATAATTGCTTTGCACACAACACAAATCAGACTGTTAGTTTCTTGTTTGAATTGGTTTACATTTGTCATTTCAGGGCTTTTATACATGTAGCTTGCTATGCGGTACGGTTTTACTCATTGTTGAAGGCTGTAAGGTGACCCATAATTGCCATGATTGCCAACTTCAAACTCATTTGGTCTCTGATAGAGAGTGTCTCCTTGGCAATCATACCACATATCTTCCTATTTTTATAATATACATTCATGAAATTGTTAAAAAAAAATTAAAAGCTTTCTGAGTCATGATGGTATCATAAAAGTTGGTAAAACATTATATTTGAACAATTAAGACAATTATTTACTTAATTTGTAAATACATTAAAAGCTTTCCAAGAATTTAAATCCATACTCACCCCTGTTACATGACTTACATCAAATTCCATAGATATGTGGTTATATATATATACATCCATTAATTATTGTTAAGTAATGTACAAAGTAGGTTTTGTACTTGTAATACTATTGTGTGTTAGATTATTAACGATTGTATTACTGTTTTTACATGTAATTAACAACAAAAATTCACACCTTTGTCAAGTCTTTCTTTAGTCCTCTCAATATAAGAGTTTTTGTTGTGATATCTGGGACTATCACGTGATGGACTATCTCTGGCTCTGTCGTATGAAGATTCACGTTTGTATCTGTCTGTTTGTCTGTACCCTTCACCTTTACTTTTGGATGGGTACTGGGATGACTGAAAGAAAAAAAGTAAATTATATTCTTCTTGATATTTAACATGTCTCAGAATGTCTCCTCTCTTTCCTAATATTACATTTGTCATGTTTGTGATGTTTGCAGCTGATCATGTTGATTTATATTTCAATACAAATAAAATAATACTTGTGTTTACACTAAAATGCTGAAAAGAATAAGGGTAGGAAGAAGGCAAATATTTATTTTTTTTCAAGTTTTTTTGGTTTACACAGAGAAAACACTTGGACTTTAATGGTGCATGTTATAAAATGACCCAAAAAAATATAGGATAGGTTGGCAGTAGGGTAATCAAAAACACAAAATAAGTCGAACACATTCTTAATATAGATGATTAAAATATGATTTTTTTTTTTTTTTGGTATTTTTTATTAGCAAACCAGTGAAATTTCATGAAACAAAACATGTTCAAAACTCTCTGGAAATGCTCCAGAACACAGGATTTGGCTTCATTTGTATCAAAATTTTCTGGGGGAGGGGGGCATGCCCCCAGGCCCTCCTAGATAGGGTCATGCCGTTGGCACGACCATCCAAGTGCCTTTGGCACTTGGAGGGCTAGTGATTTGATAAGAGGACTAGAAGAATAATAATTTATCTATCCCTGCAGGCTAGTACATACATTTAGTTTAGTGTCAAACCCTGATAATTCCCTTAACTTTAAACTTATATATCCACCAGAGTTCAAATGAAGTGGATTTAAGCAATTATAGGCCACCATAAGGTAGACTGTGCCCAAAACTTCAAAAATCTATTAAAAAAAATATGGAGTTGACAGTTTAAACATATATATCAAATTAATTTGTTTACCATGTTTAATGAGCCTTATTATTTAGCAATCCAATTTTTATGGAGGGACATCATGTACACCACATCCTAGTGATGAAACTTCTGGTAAATTCATTATGATATATCAATTCAAATGAATAAAAGAAATGACTCACATTTGAGCATTTTCCCTAAGCTATGTAATTGCATCACACTAAGAATTGCTTATTAAACGAGGTCATTTGTCATCAGGTCAACCTGCATCTCATTCATTAAAAAAAGAACTTGAATTTGGTCTATATCTTTTACTTACAAAACAGTTTTGAAGTCTACCATGTATATGCGTGATCTTTGAGCTGCAGCTGTATGATAATTTTACCTTCCCTGAATATTTTCAAAGTGCAGCCCATTAAAATAATTTCCCAGTAAGCTACATCATATTATGTTTCTTGCTATTATTTGAAACACATTTCAGTGTATACACCAATCTTGAGTTGTTGTTTATGAACGATTACTGTGGTTGTCCTGAGGTCAATTGGATTAAATTACGTCATCAAACAATCAGCTCTTACTGTCGGATAATAATGTAAGCATTGTGACATAGGAATTTTATGGGAGAGTGCATGCAATTTTGGGAGTCTTCTACAGGTTGGGGAGGATCCCCTCCAAAGAGTACTATCCTCATTTATGGGTATCATAACCCAAAACAGGTATCAACTTTCAGTGATAAAAATATAAACTTTGGATTTAGATATTTTTTGTCATGGCACAAACATTCAGGTAAAGGACAACATTTTGCCTAATGACACTGTCATTTGAACTAAGGGGAACATTTTGCCATTTAAATGAATATTTTCACCATGACAGCTAGCATAATGAAATACAAAATTTGATTTTTAATCACTTTAAATTGATACCCGAATTTGCGTATTATACCCATAAACAGGAATACCGAATAGTACCCAGAATCTTCCCTAACCTGTTCTTTAGTCTTTACTATTGATATGCTGAAAATATTTTTGCTTTTTTCATCATTCAAACTATTTTTTTAGTGTAGTAAATATTGGTATGACCAAAGGAACATTTTTTCCTTATATTTCAAACATTAAAGCGCAATGTCAACATAAATCTTGTGTCTGGGACTGGCTCTACCATGCTTTATGCTGATGTTCATTGCTGTCACTTCAAATTACCTGGTACAGATGGGAGTCTCTCTTATCTGTATACCTGCAAGACAGAAAAATACATAATTAATACATACGAAGTGTAATTTTACTTCAAAACATGTGTTTTTCATGCAAATTTTGTAAATATTGACAACAAAATGGCGGAACAAGAGACCAACCGACTTTACAATCATATTAAATGTAATCATCTTTACCCATCACTGAGTCTGGGCTGTTTCCTTGCATGCATTACCATCAATGCATATGCGGATGGAGTGCGTCAGCGCACGGGCAATCAATATCGAGGAAATGGGCAACTTTAGTTGAACTGTCCAACATTCCCTGACAGTTGACTGGACGCCATATTACATACGGGTCTCCGCTGTGGTGACGAAAATTTATGAATTGAAACTTTTTCTTGTTGTTATAAAATTCATTGCATTATTCATTTTTCTTCTAAATGGTAGTAAGGTCTCAGGTATAACATAAAATTAAAAATAGTTCATATTACAGGGGAAAATGTAGAAAAAAAATCATGTGACCACATTAAAAATTCAAAATGGTGGATTCGATCTACGCGCTACGTACACAGGTAAACAATGTGGCAGCGTACATGGACGTTAAAAGTATTAAAGTCCTTTGGTAAAAACAACAACTTCAAATGTAGCCAAGACATTTTATTCTTTCCAACACCCACCCCTAAAAAAATCAGATAAATACAACATAGATCGTTAGTTTTCGTTACCACCACCACTGGCACTGCACTGTCCCAGGTAAGCTAGTAAGGGCTAAGCCTAAGGATAGGGTTAAATGCTCACAAACATTTTAAACCTCGCCACATTCTGTATGTGCTTTTCCCAAGTCAAACGCATGTAGTTCATTGGTGGTTGTTGATTCATGTCTGTCAATAAGTGTCATTAATGTTTTTCGTTAAATGAATTGTTTACCTTCTTCTTCCATATACAGTGATTTTGCTAGCGCTCTTCGTTTTCGTCATTTACGAAAAACGGTTTTCAAATGATGAAAGTATTCCAAATCAATTTCGTCACTTGAATTTGGAAAGAGTAAAAATATTTTCGCATGAAAATACTATAATTCTTAACCTGTCTTATTGTTTTTGACAAGTTTATGACCCTCAGCTAATTAACATTTACAACAGGTGTTATAAGATGTGATTACAGATAATCTGCTTATCACCATCGGATGGGTCACTAATCCGTTAATTATTTATCAACCTCATAATTGATCATCATATTATTTTCCCAAGTAAAATCAGTCAGTCGGTATTTCAATTTCAAAGTTATCAAACGAGCACAATTTGCAGTTCGTTTGTCATAGTTTCGTCATTTGAAGAAAATTGTTTCCCTCGGACAGTTCGGACAGTTCGCATTTTAATTTCAATATTTCTCAAACGATCACAATTTGCAGTTCGCTTGTCGTAGTTTCATCAAATGAACGTATTTTCGTCATATTTGATATAACTTTTAATCAAAAACTTTCGACAATTTCGATTAAAAAGATAGAAATTTATTCACAACATTCAGAAATGTTTTCACGAGATGAACTGCGCATGCGCGAAAGTATTCTTATGAATTTAAAGACACTAAAACTTAAAATACGAAATAATTAAGTATCACACTAAACAAGAGAGACAAATATAGTTCTTATTTAGCAAATTTAATTTAAAAAATGATAATTTCCTGCCTTTTTTAAACACGAACCAATCCGTAGATGAATCCGGATTCATTCTGAATTTATTATCCACTTGTCACTTCCCATTTTCATTTCATTTGGAAATTGAAAGTAAACGTGATCTAATCATGATAAATTTACAATTTAAAGTCATTAAAATTGTTCCAATAAGGATTTGTACAAATCCTTGGTTCCAACTTTATAGAATTGATTCTAAATATCGCTTTAAAACGGATAATGAGTATGAATAATGCAGTGAAATAGTCCTTACAAGTTCATTCATGCTGTGATTCCTGGTTAAAAAAAAATGGATCCCAACTTTTGTTGATTAGGACAATGTAGGAATGTACCCTGAAACTATCTGAAGTGTAATTGTGAACTAGATTTCTACATCTTACATGTATATCCTTATCTTCGTATTAAAGTGCCACATCAATCAAATCATACAGTAACTTCCTAGTATGCCTAAGTCCTTCAAAGTCTGACAATGATGTATAGATAGTAATATACACCCTAGGTCCCTTGCTGCTAACCAAAATAAGGTTGATTTTCATACCGCACAAAAGTGACTAAAGCCCTCAAAATCCTAGCTTAAACCCTGCATATGTGTGCTTGTAAACATACCCTTTTAACTCATTTGAATGCCTGTTTTGAGGTGTTCAGGTTATATAATAAAGAATTTCAAAATTCTGGTCAACACTTCTCATGGGGTGGGGTCTCACTAATTAGAAACAAGAATCTACAAGAAGAATAATTTAGCGACAAGAAGACTAATTTAGCGACAAGAAAACAAATTTAGCATCAAGAAATTAACTATTTTAAAGTTATTTCAAACAAGTTATTAAGTATATAGAAACAGGCATTAAAGTGTGTTTTTTAATATACAGTAGTGTCCGGTAATTCCGCCCGTTCGGTAAACCTGCCCAATCCCATTTCTTCTGTAATTGTCACTTCCGTGAATATTTCGTCTGCTATTTTATTCATAGGAACTGTACTTATCATCACTGCATGTCAAATTGTCAAAAGTTCCTAAAGCTAACGATAATCATATTATTGCTTACAAAACTCATTTCTGACTTGAAATTTTTTTTGGGATTATCTGGAATCTCTTTGTAAGTGGTCTATTGATAAATAGATCACCCTTTCCTTCCATAAACTTGTGATAAACTGGCCCTCCATACACATTTACTGTGCAGGGGCGGATTAACCGGACAAACACATTTTCGATAAAACCACAGATGACCCACTTGTTTTGTTGATTTTAAAATTTATTTCAGATATTTTTTAGGAAATGAGATAAACTACTCAAAGTTGATTTGTCAGTGAAAGGATCTATATTAAATTTGATACAATTTGTATATAATTTAGCAGAAATACATACGATCAAAGCCTTATGTGGGCGGATTTACCAGACTGCATCGATTGTACATGTATTTTAAGTATTTTATTATGCTGATAGAAGGATATAAACATTTGTTCAAGAAAAGATTTTTTTTTTATTATTGAGGATATGTTTAAGATAATATATTTACAGCATATATATATATATATATATATATAGTGTATGTGTATAAGTGAATGAACATGATTAATGAATGAAAAACGGGGAGGGGGGGTTAATTGGTTAATTTCTTTTTTCTTTAAATTTTGAAGTCATTCTTATTAATGGACATTATGCATGCTTTTATATTAAGAGTAATAATTGTTGTGTGCTTTTATTTACATAATTTATTTATTAAGATTATTTCACTGTTGTGACACCATTATGATTCTTGGATTTTAACAAAATGTTCAGATTCATAAATACTTTAAAGTATTTATTTTTACTAAAAATTCACTACAAAACGGCATAGCTACCAAATGCAACATAATTTTAAAGTTTATAAAACGTGAAGAGGGTTGAGATCTCACAAAACATGTTTAACCCCTCCACATTTTTGCCCCTGTCCCAAGTCAGGAGCCTCTGGCCTTTGTTAGTCTTGTATGTTTTTTTAATTTTAGTTCATTTATATGTTTCGGAGTTTAGTGTGACATCCATTTTCACTGAACTAGTACACATTTTTGTTTAGCAGTCAGAGCTCAGACATAAATAAGTCTAAATCTGCTTTTGACTCATAGAGTAAATTTGTAGGTTTCAAGATTTGTCCCCCTTTAATTTAAGACAAATTATGACTTCAATAAGTCAATTAGTGTTAAGTAAAAATTATTTGACCTGAATTAAAAAGTTGCAAATATTGACTCCTACAAGTCAATAAGTTACCAAAATTGGTCAACTCCAAGACCCAAGCATATTTATAAAAAGGTCATGCATCTACATGAAATTATGACAACATTGAAAGAGAATGCTTTGTCTTCTAAAGAAAAATATGCATGAGAGCCTAAAAAAACGCAGATTATGTTTATTTACTATACAATGCAACCATCTATAACCACACGAAATAAGGAAAATAATCTTATGTTAAGTAAAAATGTTCGATTAGATAATTAAATATAGATAGCTCAGGTCCTTGTGAACTCTCAGACAGGTTTATGATGTCATAGGTGGTGCACTTTGGCGGCCCACCAATTAAAATTAAGTCTTTTCATAAACAAAAATAGACCTAAACAAGTCTGTCATTTTCTGACTTAAATAAGTCTGAAAAATGGAAAATGAAAACACATTTTTATTATAAATACATTTTTTGACTTCTGTAAGTCAAAAACAAAAAACGACTTGTTTATGTCTGAGCTCTGACTGTTTAGGGGCCAGCTGATTTTTTCTTCTTGTCTGTAATTTTTTCTTCCTGTTGCTTCTTGATGATTCTTGTCGCAAATATTCTTCTTGTGGCTTATTAGTGAGACCACTTATGGAGGATATCCCCCATAAAACAGGATAGTTGGCAGGTCTGGTAAGAACCGAATTCAATAGTGAATGTAAATATGGTCCTGCGAAAATTGCAGTGTCCAGCAAAACTCATCTCAAAACTATTTACAGTTAAAACAGCCTCCAATATATACAATTAAAACTATATCCCTCTTAGTGTTGGGCTAAATTTCAAAACACTGCCCAGAAATGGGATAATTTCAGTACAAAATAACATTAATAGTATTTTGTTATTAAATCTTGTATAACAACAAATTACCTTGCATAATTGAAGCTTTACTAAGATATAAAGTCAAGATGTTTATTTTTTTTTTAAATTACGTTATTTATATGACATCACATCATGTCATAATGGTGTTCACATCACATACTAAGGAAGTGACAACCTTATCAATTAGCTAACTTAAATCACTTTTCAGTTTTTGCAACACAGCACCATGATACAAAATTTCAAGTTATTTTAACATATATGTTCAGTAGGTTATTTATAACCTAACAATAAATATTTCTTTTGTTTAAATTCAGACCTCCAGATAAGCTGCATATTTGTGTGATTATGAAATAAAAACAATCAAAAATCAATTTAATTTCTCAATTTATGCATTCAAAAACCCAATTTACGGAAAGGAAATATCAAATACATGTCAGAACTATACGTTCTCAACTCTTCTAGCTGTTGTCAAGTGCATAATTTACCCTTCATGCCCTTATTAATACATTGTTGTCAGATAATTTATTCTGTTTTGTAATTTTGGGAAACATCTACAAATGGAGCACAAAAACAGATAGCTGATATGGGTCCCTGTTGGAATACT